CCCGCCTCACCTTCCCTCTCTCTTCGGTGGTCACAAATTATATATGCCCAGTATGCCCAGCATTCCACCTGCAAGTATCACATAAGAGCTCTCGAAACCCCAAAAGAAGACGTTGCAAATCAGCTGCGGCGTACCATATCCTTCCGTCACCCTCTCCCTCCCCCTCCCCTCGCCATATTCTGTGGGCACAAAGTTTACATCACAAGCATTCCACCTTCCAGTATAACAGGACCCCTTGCAGCACCACCCACCCAATGCACAAAAGACAAAACTTCACACTTTCCATGTTATGTGGAAACGGGCATTCTCATTTTGCACATCTGGTGAGTGGTGCTGCGATCCCCACAACAATCCCAAAAGTCAGATAATGCAGAGTCAGCTGCATTGTAGCGCATCCTTGCGACTTCACGAATATGCACGCATATTTTGCAGCCTGCGGGAAAACGCCTCTTCCGTCCTGACACAGCCTGGCACATAAAAAATTCATCAGGGCTCACCACAGAACAATCTCATCATTTGGATCCAGAAGTGGCCAGCACAAACAAAGTTGATGACAATCGTACCCTCACAATTCTGAATACCTAAGACAGTGAAGAGTCATGCGCATGCACCTTTACTTTCCCAACTGCTCCCAAAGTAAGCGGCTCATCCAAGGGACCAAGTCCCTACTGAGCCTCGATGTCCCGAATGGGTCTGCAACTGTCTCAAGAGTGGCCATTCTAATGCCCGTAAAGGTGCCTCGATGTGAAACGGGCACTCGATGTATTTAGAGAAGTTTAGACTCTTTACCTCCTAGCGATCCCTTGGTGCAAGGCTGGAGAGTTTGCGTGTATGCATAGTTGGAAGGATGACAACTGAAGTTGACAAAAAAAAAAAGAAAAAAAAAAGAAAAAAAAGGAAGGATGACAACTATGTTCACTGAACTACTTCTCTCATTCCCGTGTATCTTCGAATATTGAGAAAAAGAGGACTTCACTCAAATTTTAAGATGGAGAGGGAGTGTATTCTTCATCTCTAAAGGTTGGAGAGTTTGCGTGTATGCATAGTTGGAAGGATGACAACTGAAGTTAACCAAAAAAGAAAAAGAAAAAAAAAAAAGAAAAAAAAAGGAAGGATGACAACTATGTTCACTGAACTACTTCCTCTCGTTCCCATGTTTCTTCGAATATTGAGAAAAAGAGGACTTCACTCAAATTTTAAGATAGAGAGGGAGTGTAAGAGGAGAGAGGACTACACAGAATATCCCGCCGGACTTGTGATAGATCATATGGTTGCCGCTGCCTCCTTCACAGCAGGCTCACACTCCAGCTTCCTGATCCCATAACTCCCAGCCAAAGGAGTTAGGCTCTGGGGAGTAGAAACCTCCTGTCTAGAAGGTGGGAGACTGTAGCATGGGGGACTCACAACCTCTTTTTTTTTTTCCCCTCCCTTCTCTGGGGATATACAGCATCGAAGAGCGTCAAAATTGAAGTATTGAACAAAAAAAGGAAAATGGAAAAGGGAAAAGAGATATTTGACGCTCAAGTTGTGTATTATTTCTCACTCTGCGCCTTTTTCGGGAATGCCGCGCTTGTTGCAACTGCCTGCTCGAAAGTTATGGGATTGACGGTTGAGAGGGACTGACTGCAGAATTGCACACTCGATTTCCGAAAAGCGAAGCTGATGATAAGTGATATGCATGCATGGCATGTCATCACGATCCTCATCCGTCCGCCGAAGCATCCCTTGATGACGATTCACCCGGTGCCCCTCGCGAAACCCAAGGGTCAATCATCTTTCCTTGTGCTGCATCGATGAAGACTTTGACAATAGCCTCCTGTTCCAAGTTCTCGGTCCACGTTGGAGACACCCTCACCGCTGGATCACCACAGTGCAAAAAAGCGCACCGATCAATAGAACCAGGGTGTTAATCGCTGAATGACACCCAAACTCCACACACCGGTCCCTGAGTTGCGATTGCATCATTGCACACAACAATGTAAAAGGGCTTTCACTCTTCTTCAAAATCAAGCCATGGAAAAAAAAAGAAAAAAAAAGAAAGCAATGAAATATCCAGCCCATGTTGCTGGATGGTACACTTAGTTAACATAACATGAAGACAGTAGAATAGGAGCCATTTCAAAAAAAAAAAAAAAAAAAAAAAAAAAAAAAAAAAAAAAAAAAAAAAAGAATAGGAGCCATATCCTTTTGAAGAGAAAATGGCAAAATGCAACAAAAAGTCAGCCTTGTGATAATCAGGTCCTGTGCTGCATGGCTGCTGATAATTCAATCAAAATTATCAAATCAAAGATGTAATCCTCAAAACTACTGCAAGGAATATGAGCGAGGGCGATAGACAGAAATCGAAGTTGCGAAATCACGAAGTAGCCCAGATAGGCATGCACCAAGCAGAGAGCACAATGCGCATCCAAATAAGAGCGATACAACGAACTGGAGTGCCAAATGCTGACGCTCTCTGGTCACACCAACACTGTATCCAATGTCGCTCCTACTGTATGGCGCCCAGCGCCCAGCCTATACTACTCAGCCTAACTAGCCTGTCTACGTTCATGCGACTGGATCAAATCGAAGTTGAAGGCCGATGTATGTGATGTCATCACCAATGCCGACCACCAGCATACACCAGGTACATTCTCTCCCCTCCCCTCACCACCCCTCGACTCCCCAATACATGCGCCTCCTACCCGAAGACCACCATCACGATCACCAGCACCCGCACGCTCGGCCCGGTTGTGGCTGCCGTGCACCCACTGCCCTCGCAGTGCCCTCTCGCCTCTTAGCGCCCGTGTGCGCCCCAGCCTGCCTGCATAGCACAGGGTCACACAGCAAAGCAGCAGCGTGGCCGGGCACACATGTTTTATGGAAAGTGTCCGCTGCTGGCTTGTGGGGGACCCAGTAGCTTGCCTCTGGCCCCAAGTGTCTGCGCCCAGGCCCAGTTTCAGATACTGGGGTGGGGCTCCAGCAGTTAGGCACGTCCAGGCAGCCACCCAGCCTCCATGTTTGCGGCATTCTCATTGGCTTGCGGCACATGTGTGACGACAATGCTGCTTCCTCATTGGCCCGTAACCAGTCCGTGATGTGTCGGCCTCACACAATGTGTGCCCAGGGTGCAACCGCCTGAGCCCCCTGGGCTCAACTGTACAGCGCAGCCCTTTGCTTCTGGCAAGAGCCTGGAGGCTCACGTTTCTCTGTAACCAACTGGCGTGCTGCAACTGTCTCAGTACGCGCATATGGAAAAATGTCAAAAACAGGCCTCACATGGATATTCAGGTCCGCCTTCACTTAGGGCGGGCACATGCTTACTAGGGACCGCAGCCCAGAACACTTGAATGTCTGATAAGGGCCCCGCGAGGGCTCATTCCTTGCACTACCCAAAAAAAAAATCAAAAAAACAGTTTAAAAACTGCCATTGCCCCGAATGTGCAGTCTGATCCAGCGGCCTAGCTCAGTTGGTAAGGCTCGCAAGTGGCATTCAGGAGGTCATGGGTTCAATCCCCATTGGCCACATGCCTTCCTGGGCTTACTTGGCACCCGCTACCCAAGAGATAGACCACTGGATCCCCCGATCGGCATCAAGCAGAGTCTGCTATGTTCGTAGGGGAGGGGCCTGAGGGGAGGCACGGGGGATTGGTCCGCTTTATCCCTGGGGCCTGGTGCTACCGGCCGTCCCCTGGCCGGTATCCTGCAAGCTCGAGGGGCCGTAAAAACACGGCTCTGGTATGCTACGGGTTTCCCCGTATGCCTATAGGTAGGAGTAGTGGTAGGTAGGTAGTGGGAGGAAAAATTGAGAGAAGAGTATAGTTAAAAAAAAAAAAAAAAAACAAAGAATGTGCAGTCTGCACGACTGTGAAGCACTTGTCAGATCTCTCTTGTCGATAATTCAATCTGATTATTTTTGAACCACGATTGCCCTGAACACCTTCCTTCTTAACCCCACCAGCAGACATCTTCCTCCCTAACCTCACCAGCAGCCTCTCAATGCCCGGGCAATAGGGAGGTGGATAGTGGCACAGGTCCTCTTGCAGAGAGGCCTACGCCCAGCCTCTACTGAGCCTCTGCCAGACCTTGCTATCGCTCCTATCTGGACAGAGCACGAGTTCAAATCGTGTTGGAATTAGATGAACACAATGAAGTGAGGGGCTAATCCCCGTTTAGAAGAAAACGCAACTTGGGGTTCTTTGTCAAGATGATCTATACCCAATCCCCATACTAACGAGTACAATCTTGTGCTCTCGAGCATGTGAATCAGCCTTAGAGCACCAGTGCGTCTTGATGATCCTCCGGTTAACACGAGGCCTGCATTTTGGATGTACCTGCCCAGGCTGGGTAGAATGCATAATCGATGGAAAAGCTGTCAGAGCGCAGAAGACGGGTGTTGCACACTGATGGTTTTAAGACCCTTTTTTAACGATGCTCACCGTCGTATTATACGTGGAGGCCACACTTCCAATGTGCTCGCCACCTGTGATGGGTCTGAGACATTCCGCGCAGGTTTTTCTAGGGAACAACCCCTACTAGAAAGGCAGCAGAAGAATTGCATTAATTGGCTCTCTGATGTACAGTTCGCATGCAATACTACATTCAGCAATCGGCATGTCTCCCTTTGAGCTTGAAGACCGACAGCTGGTCGGTAGTCACGCAGATTCCCTGATTCCTTGTTTGGCTGAATCTACTAACCCAGCATGCTTGCACATCAGCGCACAATGCGTGACCTGACGCAGAAGGTGCAGAAACGCATGCAGCGGCAGGCCAACCAGAATCTGTCCTTGGTTGATTCGTGGAGCAACCTTAGCATGGGTGCCAGCACAGGAGTTGCTCAAGACGGCTCGTGCAGGCTCCTCCCAAAGTTGCTGAGACCTTGGCCGATTCTGCCTACAGCTGGCCTCGCATATCATTGGGCACCAAGACTATTGGAACAAGCCGATGAAGCACACGGTGCACTTTTTCTCATTGTCACCCGAGTACGGATTGTGGCTGACCCCATGCAGAGTTCAAGGCTACAACGTCTCATATCATCGGCAAACACAAGCATATATGACTCGCTCACAATGCCTCGCAAGGTCAGCCCTCCCGCCCACTCTGTAGGACCTGCCACATGCATACGATGGACCTGAAGGAGGAAAGCAGGTCCTGACGCCAGAGGATCCAGAGTACGAGGCAGAGAAGAAGCGGAACCAGGAAGAAAAGGTAAAGAAAAAAGGGGAAAGAGCCCCCTCATGCTGTCGTTCATATGGAAGACAAGATGCGAGGAGACAATAGACGGCCAGCACATGCTGACACAGGGAGCTTGGGAGCAGCTCCATCAACTGTTGCAAATAGAATACCAGGCTGACTAGCGCCAGGCGACCAAGAAGATCAAAGACGACCTGACTAAGAAACAGCTCATCATCGACAAGTTCGTCAACACCCAACTAGGAGTAGGAAAGTTGGGCAGAATAGAAGCCACGGCCACGAGACTCGTTTGGCGACTGCAGGGAGGTCAACAAGGAGAACTCCACCTGACAGCCCCGACCTCCACCGACATCACACGATCACAAGTGTCCAGTGCAAACATACACGCAGCATGAGAACACAGGGTGACTGCCTTAACCACAGGGCAGACACACACTCACGTCTGCTGATTCCAACACAGTATAACTAGAGCTCAGGTTCGCAGCACTGGGAGCGCACAGGATGCAGGCCACTACGATTTCAGACCGAAGGGGCAACACCTGGTTGCACAGGCTGACCTTGATGAGGGCGATCACCAAAGGACGCACACAGTGCTCAGCTCTAGCTTCGCAATGTAGTACCAGACAGTTTTCAAGCTGAGAGGAGCGAACGGCACCGTAGTTGACTGGGCTAATCTAGGCAGGGCTGAGAGGTGGTACATCCTTCCCAAGGGAAGAAATCAATGTCGTGTACTTGGACCTCCCGACCACTACGGGGAGGGGCGTGGGTGAGTTCCACTATGTAAAATTCGACTTGCCGGTGGAATAGGAACCAGACTGACGCTCCCCCGAAAGGAAAAGAGGCAGAGCCATAAGGTTCTGGACTACAGTAAGCCAAGAGATCCCGCTGAGACCAGCGGTTACATGCTGCGCCTGCACACGAGGGCCATTTTCCAGGCCCTGCGTCCCTCAGGCTGAGAGCCTGAAAACCAGGGCCTACAGGCCCGGTGTCTGTTCAGCTCGAAAGCCTGAAAAACAGGGGCCTACAGACCCTGTGTCGTTTCAGACTAAAAATGGCAGTAGCCTTTTTAGCCTGAAATGAAAGGCCATTTTCGGTCTTTCATCAGACCGACCTGCCCTGAAACTCAGGCACCAAACCAGGGTTTTAGGAACAGGCTATTTTTGGCCTGTTCCCACGACAGCTGCAGTGCCAGACCCTGGCTCAGTTTGGAATTGGCAAGAGCAGCCTCCTGGACTGCCCGCCCTGCAACTGCAGGCAGTCGGAGGCAGTCAGGAGGCAGGCCGAGGTAGTACATAGGGACTTCCCATGCACTTTACGGGGCAGTCACTAGTCTTCAGGATTCGGCAGCAGCACTCTGGAGGAGCGCTGCAGGAGTAGTAGTAGCGTTAGCAGTAGTCTTCAGCGCTGGGCGCTAGTAGCGTTAGCTGTAGTCTTCAGTGCTGGGCACCATAGCAGCTAGAGTAGCACTAGAGAGAGAGAGATTGGGCGGAGGCCAGAGGGACTTACCTGCAGCGCCGTTGCTCCAGCTTCATCTTCGAGGTACCTGCAGCACAGCGCCATCTTCACAGGTTAGTACCTGGCATATGAGAGAGAGAGTTCTTCTTCTTCCTCTTCTCAATCCACCATCTCTTTCTCACCCTCTCGCTATCTGACTTCACTGCATCAGCAGACTAAGAGAGAGAGAG